ATTGAGGAAGACACTCAGTTCAACTTGTGGTCTTCACGTGCAGGGCTGCAAGATACGGAAAGGGAACTGGGGGACCTGGCCTTGTAGCGGTAGATCCCACGTGGTCCTCACTGTCTTCCTTCTTAGGAAAGTCACACTTCCTCCTTAATGTTGTAGGGGGGGAGAAAAAACTTTTTTTAAGTCACAGCAGTTAAAAGGAAATTTGTTGTCTGTAACCACGCCCGTCACAGGCACCCAGGAGTGACGATTCCCCTGCATCACCCCTGAGCTCTGCCACGGATCTTCAGCTGAACTGGGATCTTCAATGAGGAACTTGGAGACTATGAGCCAGCAATTTGGCATGGGTGTTTTCCAGGCCTGGGTTCTAGACATGTCCTCTAGGATGTCTGGTCATTTCTGTGGCGACTAGGAACACAGAATAGACCTTGAATTGGGAGTGTTTTTTCTTTTCCCCTGGGAGCATGTGGAGGGAGCATACTGCTTTCTGGCTTCACAGACATGGGGCTTTAGGGTGAGGAATGTGACAGTTATGTTCCAGACAGTGTATTAGTCAGAGCAACAAAGGAGCTGCTATAACAAAGAGCCCCATAGCAACACAACAGGAGGAACAGGGATGTCTCTTTCTGTCCCACAGGATCTGGGGGCCCAAAGCATGGGTGTTCCAGCCAACCTTCCTTCCTTCAAGAAGGGTTCCCATGTTATGTGTAGAAGGCACAGAGTCCCCTGCCCCTGCTGGCACCCTGCTTGACCACTTCTGCTCTCCTCTCCTCCCTCACCCACCTCTGCGTCTTGCCAGCTTCTCCTGCATCCCTGGTTGACTCCTTTTAGCTTCTGGAGCTCAGCTTCATGGTCACTTGGTGTCTTAGTGGTACTGACTATGTCCCTTGGGGCTCCCTCTGTCTGAGTCTGTGGATTGACTGCTCTGTCTTCTAACATTTACTGTATGCTGACCCTTTGAGGGCAGGGGCATGCCTGCACGTTCCCTGAAGTATTCCCAACCCTGGAGAGGCACACAACACACAGTTGCTGATTCTGTCGTCTGAGTCTACCAGGTAGAGGCTTCATGTACATTTCATACTCACGGACACCTTTCATGGGTGTTTCTGTGACCATCCCCAGCTCACTTGCGAAGAAACTTGAGTTGACATAGGTTCCCTTCATTTATTTGCTAATGGTATAGGGATGGCATCTGGTGACTCCCAGAGCCATGGCAGTTTTTGTTCCATCATGAGGCACCTGGTAGAGGACTGGAAGACCGGGCACCTTGCTGAGATTCAGGAAGAACAAGCTGGGATCCCTTAAGTTCCCCACCTGTTTTGTTTGTTTGTTTGTTTGTTTGTTTTTTCAGCATGTAGCAACATCAAGTTGACTTTCTGTTTGTTTGGGTTTTTTGATGTCTGTCTGTCTCTGTCTCTCTCTGTCTCTCTCTGTCTCTGTCTCTGTCTCTCTCTCTCTGTATGTATGTATGTGTGTGTGTTGCTATGTAGCTCTGGCTATCTTTGAATTTGAGATCCTCCTGCCCTCCCTTGAGAATTCTGGGATTAAGGACTGGTGAGATAGTTTAGTGGGCTAAGATAGCACTCGTCACCACGCATGATGACCTAAATTTGATCCCGGGGATCCATATGGTGGAAAGAGAGAACTAAATGCTGGTATGATAGGTTCATGCCAGTACACCAGCTCCCCAGGCCAGCATACCCCACCCTGGGTTTGTGTGTATTTATACATGTGTGTATGGGTGGGGGTGGGTGCAAGTGTGGGAGGAATGTGCATGTGTGTGTGTGTACAAGTGTCTTAGTTAGGGTTTCTATTGTTCTGAAGAGGAATCATGACCAATTGTTATAAATGAAAACATTTGTTTGAGGCTGGCTTACAGTTTCAGAGGTTTAGTTCATTATCAATATGCTGGGACATGGCACCATGCAGGCAGACATGGTGCTGGAGAAGGAGCTGAGAGTCCTACATCTTGATCTACAGGCTACAGGAAATGAATTGTCACACTGGGCATAGCTTAAGCATAGGAGACCTCAAAGCTTACCCCTTCAGTGACGCACTTCCTCCAACAAAGCCACACCTCCTGATTGTGCCACTCCCTATGAGTTTATGGGAACCAGTTACGCTCAAACTACCACAACAAGTGAATGCAGAGGCCTCAGGGGCCGTCCACCTTGGTTTTTAAGACAGGGCCTCTCACTGGCCTAGGGATGGACAATTAAGACTAGGCTGGCCAGCCAGTGAGCCCTAGAGATCTCCCTAACTCTGCCTTTGTTTCTGTCAGGAGGCTGACATGGGTGCTGGGAACTGAACTCAGGTCCCCTGGAAGAGCAGCGAGTGTTCTTAACCACTGAATCATTGCTCTGACCCAAATGAATTACTTTAAAAAATGACTTTTTTTTAATGTGTGGAGGGGTGTAATGCATGTGTAGAGATTCAAAAGCACCGAGATTATAAGTTTAGGCCACCAAGTCCAGCTCTAAGTGAATGCTGAGGGTCATGTGGCAAACACTGTACAGACTAAACTTTCCCCAACACCAATCCCCAGCTCTGACGTTAAGGCCTGGAAGCCCCAGCACAAACCTCTATCCCCGGTCCTAACACAGCAAAGTCAGCTCAGGAGCCCACCACAGTGAGCTGTCCTGACAGCTGGGGATAATCTCTTCTGTTGGGGCCCTGGTGGGCATGAGCATGCGCTCCTCGCCCGTGCTCGCTGCTCACACTAGCAGCCTCGGAGTGGTCTCATGTTTACATGCTCCACTCCATCCATCAGCCCGATTCGTAAACATGCAGAGGCCCGGGAGCCAGGTTGGGGGTCCTGTTTCCGGGGTTGCTAAGGGTACCTGGGAACTCCAGGCACTGTGGGCACCAGCTGCTGACCTGGGAGTCGTCATTAAGCCAGGCACAGCCTGACCACAGACTCTATCAAGACTGGGTCTGAGTGAGCCTGGGTGATGAAGCTCATCTTGCCATGGAGTGCTGTCTATGCCTAGAGAGTGGCCTTGGGGGTGGCACCTGGATATTTTGGCATGGTGGGTAACCCTTGAGACCTAGCAACACCCACATGGAGGCTGTGGGGACCAGGAACCTCAATATCCCTGCGGGTGTTGAATGAGATGCAGAAGCCCTGGGGCAGCTGCCTCAGGGACATGGAGGCTGATGAGAGTCTGTGGAAACTCAGAGCTAAACTCTGGATCACACACACTGATGCTCAGTGTCAAGCTCAGTGTTGTGTTTGGAAAGGATAGCTCAGGCTGTTCTTGAAAGCTCTGTGAAGCCTAGGATGACCTTGAATTTTCTGTCCTTGCACTTGTTTCCTGAGTGCTGAGATTGTAGATTTGGTCTACACCTGGCCTGCCTGCCTGCCTGCCTGCCTGCCTGCCTGCCTGCCTGCCTGCCTGCCTGCCTGCCTGCCTGCCTCCCTCCCTCCCTCCCTCCCTCCCTCCCTCCCTCCCTCCCTCCCTCCCTCCCTCCCTCCCTCCCTCCCTCCCTCCCTCCCTCCCTCCCTCCCTCTCTCCCTCCCTCCCTCCCTTCCTTCTTTTGTGAGTTTGTGCAAGTGTCTGCTACATATGTGTGGATATCTATGGGGTCCAGAAGAAGGCGGTGGGTTCCCTAGGAACTGGATTTACAGGCAGTTTTGGGTCATGTGACATGGAGGAAGGTCTTTTGGAAGAACATCAATTGCTCTTACCCACTGGACCATCTCTCTAGCCTCCCCCACCCCTGCCTCTTTTCTAACATTTACTTATTTGTGAAGAGGTGATGCACGTGTGGAGGTCAAAGGATAACTTTTGGGGGACAGTTCCTTTCTTATACTGTGTGGGTCTTAAAGATCAAACTCAGGTCATTAGACTTGATCACAAGTGACTTTACCCACAGAGCCAACTCAAGGTCTCTTTTTCCCATTTTTTTGTGAGCTTTTTTTGTTGTTATCTTTGTTGTTTTGCTTTGGCTTTGTTTATTGGTCAGTGTCTCACTATGTAGCCCAGAATGGCCTCAAACTCACAGCAACCCCCCTGCCCCGGCTTCCTAAGAGCTGGGATTCTAGATATGAATCACCACACCTGGCTTGGATGTTCTCTGCTATTGGGAGTTACTGACAATGCTGAAAGCCATTCTCCGCCTTCCTAAGTCCTGAAGGTGACAGGTGCGGATACTGACTCTGGAAGGGTTTGCCTAGAAGCAGCCATGGTCCAACCATGTGTGGTGCCCATCTCAGGTAGCAGAATGTGTGAGCACAGGAGGCATTTGGCTGCCCAGACGTCCTGGGTGCCCTGGCCTTGTTTTTAATGTTCCCAGAGGCCACTGACCTACTGCAGCTGCCTTGTTAATCATTGAGCCAGCTTCATCTGTAGAACCGCTGCCCTCTTGGGAGAAAGGAGGGGCTGCATAGCTCAGCAGGTGTGTGACCCTGAGACCATGCTCCTCCCTGCCTCCCTGGAACCCCCCCCCCAACGTGGTGGGACAACTCATTGTCCTTAGGCTGCAGCCCAAGGTCAGCTCTCAGCATAGTGACAAAGCACTGGCACCCTTGGGGCCATCCCCACAGTCACCACCAAGGCCTCTGGGGGAGGTGCTGGGTAGGTCCCCATTTGGGGGAGCTTCTGTTGTGTCAGTAAAAGCAGGGTTCAGACAGGACCCTCTAAGCCTGTAAGTGTTTGGGAGGATGCATTAGCAAGCCAGCAACTTAGAGCTCAGATCTCATGGGTGTCTGCCTCCCAGAAGGCCTGGTGGACCCGAAAAGGAGGAGGGAGAAACCAGTGTAGTTAAGGATGAAAGCAGCTACAGCTACATGGAGGGAAGGAGCCAGGAAGAAGGGACAAACAGGCAGTGGCTCCTACTGCAGACTCCCCATGTGACCCTCCAACAAGTGACCCCCAACACATGCCCATCAAAGCAAGTGATGCCCAAAATGTGATGTACCCCAATAAGCAGCTTCCAATCTGCCCCCCTAACAACTGACCTCTCCACACTTGGTTGACTCGTGCCTGTCCCCTCCCCCACAGGGCACTGCTTCTGTCCTCCAGCGACGATCCCTGAATGAGGAGTATGTGGAAGTGGGGCGCCTTGGGCCCTCTGACTACTTTGGTGAGTTGGGGTCCCCACATCTCATTTGGGGCCCTGGGTCAGGAGCTGCATGGGTTTCGTGAGACCCCAGGGTGGCTCTGGGGGTTAGGGCAAGTCCGTTGTCACCTCAAACTGAGATCCAGGACTGACCTGAGACCACAAGAGTGACAGTCCTGGGGGCCAGCTGCCGGTGCGGGAGAGCAGAGCCCTGGAGAGAGACGCAGAAACCATAAGCTGTCCCCTGTAACTGCCAAGAAAGAAGGTCCTGAGTATATCCAGAATGTTCTCACAGTTGGAACTAGGTCATGAGGAGGCCTGGGCCACATCACAGTGTCTAATGCATGTGGGGCTGCTAGGCAGATCCCAGGACAATGCTAACTAGACTTGAATTTCAGATAAATAACACAGTTTTTCTTGGTGTGTGTGTTGCGGGGGGGGGGCTGAGAAAGTCTCATGCAAGCCAGGTTGGCTTCAAACTCGATGTGTAACTGAGGATGACCTTGGGTTCTCCATTCTCCTGCCTCTGCCTCCTGAGTGCTGGGTTCATAGGTGTGTTTCACCATGCCTGGTTTATGCAGGGCTGGGATGGAACCCAGGGCTCTGTGCATGCTTTGCAAGTACTGTACCAATGAGCTGCATCCCCAGCCCCAAATGTGTTGGCTCATATAAAAATATTCCAAGTATTTCACGGGACATACGTAAGCTAGGGGAGAGTTTGCGCCAGACTGACTTGTACAGGACTTGCCATCCTAGCTTCAGGAATGCTGATGGCATATTCATGGCCTGTCCTAGGCAACTTATTGAGATCCTGTCTCTAAATAAAAAAAGAAATCCATTTTTAATGGGCCCAGGCTGTCACTCAGTGGTAGCATGCTTGGGTATACATATAGGAAGCTGTGTTCAGTCCCCAGGTAAATACATTCAGAGACAGACAGACAGGCAGGCAGGCAGGCAGACAGACAGACAGACAGACAGACAGACAGACACACACACACACACACACACACACACACACACACACACACACACACACACACGCTACATTTATAATTCAAGACCAGGGCTAAAGATTCATGGATTCAATCCCCAGCACTGAATATACCAGGTATGATAGTACAGTTTGAAATCTCCAGTACTCAGGAGGAGACAAGAGGATCAGAAGTTCAAAGTCATCTTCAACTCCATAACGAATGAGTTCTAGGCCAGCCTGGAAGATATGAGACTCTGTCTCAATGAAAGAAGGAAGAGAAGGAGGAAGAAAATGCAGGTTAACCCGGCATCCCACTGGGAATGAAGGCCATTCTATGCCTTGACTTTCTTCTCTCGTCCCTCCAGGGGAGATTGCACTGCTCCTGAACCGGCCCCGTGCAGCCACTGTGGTGGCCCGGGGTCCCCTCAAGTGTGTGAAGTTGGACCGGCCTCGTTTTGAGCGAGTCCTGGGCCCCTGCTCTGAAATCCTGAAGAGAAACATCCAGCGTTACAACAGCTTCATCTCCCTCACTGTCTGAGCTTGCATTACACCTGCACCCTTGTGGGGGCTCCTATTGTGGCCCTGTGACCCATTCCCCATGCCAGGGGCCTGGGAGCTGCTGGTTAGCAGCTGGGTGGGGCTGGTGCCTGGCACGGAGCCTCTCCCTTCTCTGGACTCACTTTTGGAATAAATAACCATCTTGTGCATTTTAAAAATAAAGGGCAAGAGACAACTCCATCCCCAGACCAGGAAAGTGATGGCTGGCTCCCCCACAGTGGCCCTGCAGCCTTATCTTTGGGATCACCATATCCCCTCTTCAAGTCTTCTGGGAATTCTTATCTGGTCTCCATACTCGAACTGGCCCTGTGTCCTGCTAGGTCTCAAGAGGGGGATCACAGCTATCCTTGTAGCTTTCCCCCAGAGCTGGAAGATATCAGGACACTGTCCCTGGTCCCTCTGAGATTCTCCCAGGTCTAGGCCCAGGTGTAGGACAGATTATGTCAAATGGAGGTGTCCTTAAATGGACACTCAGGCTTGAGAGCAGAAACAGAGTGTGAGGAAAGACATTCTTGATCCCTGCCCACTACCCCCAATTCCCAGGGGGGCATAACGGACCCAAATAGATCCCAGCCTCCTAATTGAGGATTGAGCTATAGCCCCCAGAAAGTCAGGAGGTAGTGGCTTAAACCAGTCACTTGCCCTCACGGCTCTTGGAAAGTCCATTTCCGGGTAGGCTGGACATCCTGATCTCATGTCAGGACAGTTGGCCAAGCCTGTGACCCCTCACTGGCTGGACGCCCAGATTGGGCAGGAAGCATGGCTGATGCTGGGGCTTTCCAAAAGTGGTGAGTCTGGGCTGAGTCCCCATCTCCTGGAGGTCAGGAGCCATGGTTCTGCCAACCTGCCTATTGGAAACCCCAAGGGACAGCAAGGAACTCCAGCTTGCTGGTTAAAGCTGTGGGCATTGAGCCTCCCCCAGAATCGTTGTGTAAAACCCGAGTCCCTGCCCGGAACCCAAAGCATCTCTCACTTGAGTCTCTCTTCTCCCTTACATGGGGGGAAAATGTACTGGAACCAGGCTTGACCCCATACACTGAACCATCAATACCCTGTCCCCAGTGCAGTGTGATATGAGCCATCCAGGCCTGAGAGCCACATGAGTATCCACAACTGCTCAGTGTCCCTTGGGTAATCGGCATGTCATGAGACAGTGTGATCAATCTCTCCTTTCCCTTGCTGTGCACGTCTAGGGAGGTGATTTTTCCAGCTGGCCATCAGCTCCTCCCTGTGTGGCCCTGGCCGTGTGTGTCCTGCCTGCACCGTGGACTATCTGTGGATTCTGTGGACCTGCTCCTCCATTCCCTATTTATGTCACCAAGTGCTGCATGAGCTATTAAATGTGCAATGAAGAACTCTTTCCCGACCTGGGAGGCCTCTGTCTAAATTTTTTGTAGATATGTTGGTTTTCTTACCTGCTCTGGCATTTCCAAGCCATTAACACTGAGCCAGGGAGGGTTGGCTCAGCAGGTAAAGTGCTTTTCAGGCAATTGGGAAGACCTGAGTTCAAATCTCCAGAGCCCATGTAAACCCAGACAAGGTATCAGTTGTCTATAATTCCAGGTGGGATAGGCAAACAGGAGAAACCCTAGACATGCTCAGACCAGTTAGCCTGGTGTACCTAACTCTAAATAAGAGAACTTGTTCCAAAACCAGGTGGAAGGTAAGTACAACTTCTGACCTTTGACCTACACATGTATGTCATGGCACACTGGAACACACACGCACACATGTGCACTTTAAAAATCATTAAGCTGAACAGGAATGGTGGTGTGTGCCTTTAATCCCAGCATTTGGGAAGCAGAGACAGGAGGATCTCTGAGTTCGAGGCTGGCCTGGTCTACAGAGCAAGTGCCAGGACTACCAGGGCTACACAGAGAAACCCTGTCTCAATAAACAAAACAAATAAACAAAATCACTAAAGCTGAGCCTGGCTCAGTAGTAAAACACCTGCCTAGAATCCCCCAGTGAGGGGTTGGAGGTGTGACTCAGTGGTAGAGCACCTGCCTAGAATCCCCCAGTGAGGGGTTGGAGGTGTGACTCAGTGGTAGAGTACCTGCCTATAATTCTCCAGTGAGGGGTTAGGGGTATGGTTCAGTGATAGAGCACCTGTCTAGAATCCCCCAGGATTAGGGTGGGGTGTGGCTCAGTGGTAGAGCACTACCTAACATGTGGGTTCAATATCTCATGCTGCAGAAACAAGTAAATAAAAAGTAAAAGTTAAAATGGCAAATGTTTTTGTCATTATCTGCATGCACAGTATGCTGCACCCATCACTATACCCTCCTACAGAGCTTTATCTTCCTACCCCAAACCCCACACCTTAGACATGAACTCCCCATCCCCACCCATCCCTTCTACCTTCTGTAACTCCATGTATCCAAACCAGTCTATCAGTCATATCTATCAATCTGTCTGTCTGTCTGTCTGTTCATCCATCCATCCATCCATCCATCCATCCATCATCTATCTATTATCTGTCTGTTTGTACAGAGTCTCACTATAGAGCTCAGGCTGGCTCCAAGCTCATGAAATCCTCCTGTCTCAGATTCTTGAGGAGCTGGGCTTATAGGCCTGTATCACCATGCCTGGCTAACTAGTTTCATTTCAACATTGTCAGTTCAAATGGGAATCCATGTTGTCCATACCCCTGTTTACCTCATCCTAGGATGGGCAAGTGGACAGGACTCAGCGCCAACCTTGTACCACGTCTGATTCTCTATGGTTCCCTATATTGTAGGGATGGTGCCATGCTGTTGCCAGTTTGAAGGGTTGATTAAACTTCCTGAGGGAAGAGATTATCTGGTGCCAATGGCCAAATTACTCATGGGCACACATGGGGTCTGGGATAGAGAACACGTCTCCATTTCATTCTGGCCTCTGCCCCTTGCTAGCTGTGGTGGGCCATTTGCTTGCCTTGGAGGTGCGCAGACTGTCTGGTGAATTGTTCTTCCTCTCCTCCGTTGTTTATGCAGGCCTTCCTCAGGGAATTCACACGAGTTCACTGTTCATTCACTCCTTGGTTCTTTTCCACAGTCCTGAGTCCTTTCTAGGAGTCTTCAGTTATAAGCCACTTCCCCTGCCAAAACCATTTCCTTGAGGCCAGGCCTTTCTGACCAAAGGACTATGAAGACAGAGGCCTTTTGTGGCTGCATGCCAGCAGGTGGGGCTCAGCCCTGCTGGGATGATGGCCTTGGCTGGCCCTTCCAGACAGTGGACAGTCCTGACCTTGGCTGGCTGTTTGACTGTCTATGGACAGTCCTGACCTCACTCCCCCAGCTCCACTGAATCAGCTGGGCTGGCTGTGGTGACTCACTTTGAGGTCAGGTCCCTGGCTAGATGCTGAGGAGACTAGCAGCTCTCCTGCAAGACTGGGACTGGGTGATTTCACATCCGGGGTACCCAGCTTTAGATCTAGCCCCCCCCAACTCCAAGTTAGTTGCACTTCCTCTGAGCTCAGCCGGCCCTGGTCCTGCTAGGAAGTCTTCATTGACCCCAGTCTGGCAGCCTGCTATCTGAGCTTGCTTCCGGGACGTCACCAAATTTGGGAAGCTGGTGCCTGAGCCCTCCACCATCTCCAGCTCCAGTTGGTTGGTGATGATACTTCTTCATCCTGTCTGTGTCCAGTCTGTGCAAACAGATCAGGAGGCCAGCCTGGGTAACAATGTGGCACTGTCTTAAATAAAAATAAAAACAAATGTAGGCTGTATGTGCAAATTTTAAATAAAAATAAAAACAAATGTAGGTGGTGCATGGCTTTAATGCCAGCACTCAGGAGGCAGAAGCAGGAGGATCTCTATGAGTATGAATGTAGGCTGGTTCTGGTGGTGCATGGCTTTAATGCCAGCACTCAGGAGGCAGAAGCAGGAGGATCTCTATGAGTATGAAGCCATCCTGGTCTATATAGCAAGTTTCAGGTCAGTCAAGGGTACCTATATAGTGAGATCCTGTCTCAAAAATGAAAACAAAAAGTCTCAAACAAATGTAAAATGATGGCTGGTGGTGTAGCTTAGGACAGTACTTGCCTAGCACATGGAAGGACCCATAGATTATAGGAGCACACCATCACACCTGACTTGATCCATGAGTGCTGGGACTTAACTTGGATTCCCCTGTTTGCACATAAAACACTTTACCTACTGAACCATCCCCCCAACCCCATTGCTCTCTTTTGAGACAGGGTCTCTCACTAGTCGGAATCTGATTTGCTTAGTAGGCTAGCTAGGCTGGCTGGCCATGGAGCCCTAGGGGTCCTCCACATTCCCAGCACTGGGCTTACAAGTATACCCCTCCCTCCCTCCCTCCCTCCCTTCCTCCTTCCTTCCTTTCTTTTTCTTTCTCTCTCTCTTTCTTTGACAGTGTCAGTGTGTAGTCCAGATTTGAGGTTGTCCCCTTTCGGCTTCCCAGATGCTGGGATTATAGGCATGTAGCACCATGCTTGGTTCCTAGTTTTCTTTCTTTTTAGGTGGGGTGGGGGTGGGGAAGTGGGGGGTGTTTTCAAGACAGGGTTTCTCTGAGTATCTCTAGCTGTCCTGGAACTCAAGCTGTAGACCAGGCTGGCTTTGAACTCACCTGCCTCTGCCTCCAGAGTGCTGGGATTAGATATATGTGCCACTACCGCCCAGCTATGATCCTAGTTTTTATTAGCTGTTTGGCATAAGGCAAATTGCTAACCTCTCTGAGCTTTGATGTTCTTATCCGTGAATTGGGAGAAATAATTGCCTCTCATGCTTGATTTTAGCATGGCATGAGATTGTAGGTAAGGTATGCTAACCCAGTAAAAGAAACTCAGACTTGAAATTGCCATTGCATGGGACATCAAACCCTATCATCACCCGAGCACATCGATTGTAGCACCCAGTCTCTAGACCCAAAGTGGCCAGGTGTGACCCTAATGTCCTACTTGGAGGGGCCTTTGTTTTGTCTACCTTAGTCCAAAGGAGCTATCCTCCTCTCTCCTCCTGGAACATCATTCTTTAGGGGTCCACTGGTGGATCTGCCATAGGTAAAGATGCCCTGGCCTTCTCAGAGACCCTTGTGAGTGAGACAGCTATCTTCAGGAAGGTGACTTTCCATGCATCTGTCCTTCCATCTCATGATATAACTTCCATGGTATGACCTTATGGGTTCTGTGGAGAGGGACCCAGACAGGCCCAGGAGGGTAAGTTGTCTACTCCATGAGGTCTGAGGACCTGCTGTTGGGTACAACCATGATCTGAATAGCCCACAGCAGGCCCCAGGATGTAACTCCCAATGGGTGGATGCTGCCAGCTCATACACAAGACAAGGGTTCTGGACTAGGTCTCAGAGCTAGGGAACCCAGGATGACCCTCAGTACATGGTCCCTGAGCTGGTTTGTTTGTTTGTTTGTCAACTTGACACTAGCTAGGGTCATCTGGGGAGAAGGAACCTCAGTTAAGAAAATATCTTAACCGGGCGTTGGTGGCGCACACCTTTAATCGGGAGGCAGAGGCAGGTGGATCTCTGTGAGTTCGAAGACACCCTGGTCTACAGAACGAGTTCCAGGACAGCCTCCAAAATCACAGAGAAACCCTGTCCCGAAAAACCAAAAAAAAAAAAAAAAAAAAAGAAAAGAAAAGAAAATCTCTTTATCATATTGACTTGGAGGCACGGTTATGGAGCATTTTCCTGATTAATTATTTTGGGCATTGCCACCCCTGGACATAGTCTTGGGTTGTATAAGAAAGCAGGCTGAGCAAGCCATGAGCAGTGTTCCCTCCATGGCCTCTGCTTCAGCTCCTGTGTTCAGGTTCCTGCTTGCGTCCTTGCCTCGGTTACCTCTGATGATGGACTGACTGCAAGCTGTAAGATGGAACAAACCCCTTCCTCAACAAGTTTTGGTTATAGTGTTTATCACAGCAACAAAAAGCTAACTAAAACAGACCTCTCGTGGAGGATCCTTCGTGTTGGGTTAAGGGCAGGAAGGAGAGAGAGAGTCACCCTCTGAGGTAGAGAGGAACTTTATGTCACTAAAGTTGTCACCTGGGCCCCCCCCCCCCCCAGCATGAGAGTATTGACCTGGAAGGAACACCCCTCCCCTGAAAGGTATCTGGTGTCACCCAAGATAGGTGGGGCACACTCCCTGCTTGGTCAGTTACCTACTCCTTAACCCATCAATCACTCAGCAAGCCTGCCCACTGGGCTACAGGGTTGGAGTGAACTTTCCACGATCTCCCCCCCTCCCTTGCTCTCTCCATCTTCCACTCTTTCTCTGTGTCTCCATCTCTACCTCTTCCTTATTCACCTTCCTATCTCTGTCTGTCCATCTGTTCCATCTTTCTCTGTCTTGTTCTGTCTCTGTCTCTCTTTCCCTGCCCTGATCCTGTTTCTACCT